AGGTATCTGCACAGGCCAGCTTCAGCATCACTGGGATATCACAAAAGTAATAGTCCACCTCATTGGGACCACAGTAGGGCAACTGGAAGGTGAGAGTGGTTAGAAAGATGGCCTGAATACAGCCAAAAAAAGAGGTCCCCGTGGCCAGAATGGCACACACTCTGTAGCTCATGATGACTGTGTAGCGCAGAGGGTAACATATGGCCACAAAGCGGTCATAGGTCATCACAGTGTACAGGGAACCCTCAGCGCAGCCCAGGAAGTGGTAAAAGAGCTGGGACACACAGCCTGCATAGGAGATATCTTGACTGTTTCCTGAGAGGTAGAACAACATCTTGGGGGAGCTCACCGAGGGGAAAAATATGTCACATACAGATAGCTTGCCCAGAAAGAAGTACATGGGAGTGTGAAGCCTAGTGGAGGAGACAATTATGAGTAGGATGAGCAGGTTCCCCAACAGGGTGAAGAAGTAGAAGGACAAAAACAAAATAAAGAGCATGGTCTCCAGACCCTCTGTGTGCAGGATACCCAGCAGAAGAAGCTTGGTCACCATCGAGATATTCCTCATCTTTGTCAGAATGATGAACTTCAAACAGGAACACAGGATGCCAGAGTGGGAACACAGATGTCATACCAAGAATCTCTCTGATAGATTTGTTGGCTTCATGTTTTAACAATCAACCTTCTTAGGTAGGGGGAGATCTACATAAAAGCTCAAGGACAATTAAAGTTCTTGACTGTATTCTGAAACCGTTGATTTTGGCTAAGTTAGATTAAGCTCACTACAGTATATATTTCCCACAGATCGAAATTTAAGACTCTAGATAAATTATAAAAAGCAATTGTCTAAGAAATATGAAAAGTATGTAAAAGGAAGCAGATTGGAAAGAGGAGTCAAAACTTGAAATCCAGGAAGATGTGAGTTTCCATTTTTCCCCCACTTTTGTGTTTCTTTCTTTCTTTTTTATTTTTTTACTGAAAATGACAGCTCAGTTACAGAATTGTGTGGTGGCTTCTCAGGAGGCTAAACTCGAACAGATATACCATCTCTTTGACATGGAAACATGAGATTGTCATTAGTCGACCCCAGTGATCTATAGAAATGTTATTCGTATAAAGCTCTGTTTCCCTTTCCCTTTTTTGTGATATAGTTTCTCCTTCCTTCTGCTTGCTTTAGATTTAGATTTTTTTCCAGTGTTTTACTTTACAAGCTTAGGTTATTGATTTGAGATCTTTATTCTGTCTTAAATTCCCAGTTAGAAATTTCCCTTGAAGCACTGCTTTAGCTTCATTTCATGGTTTGATGTGCTGTGCCTTCATTTTCATTCATCATAAGGTATTTCTTATTTCCCTTTTCATTTATTCTTTGATCCATTGGTTATTTAGAGGTGTGCTGTTAAATGTCCACACATTTGTGTGCTTCCTACATTTGTTCCTGCTGTTAATTTCTAAGTTTGTTCCATTGTGTCAGAGAAAATGCTTTGTATTATTTCTATCATTTTAAATGTATTGAGGTTAATTTTATGGCCTATTATACAGTATATTCTGGATAATGTTCTGTGTGCACTTGAGGAAAATGTATAGTGTGTTGTTTTGTGGAGTGTTCTATAGATGCCAGGTCTAGTTCATAGTATTGGTCAAGTGTTCTATTTCTTTACTAATCTCTTGTCTAATTGTTCTATCCATTCACAAGGAAGAAAAAAAATATTAAGGCAGAAATTAATAAAGTACAGAATAGAAAAGCGATAGAGAAAATCAATGAAACTGAAACTGGTTCTTGGAGAGGATCAACAAAATTGACAAACCATTAGCTAAACTGAACAAGACAAAAAGAGAAAAGACTGAAACTATTAGAATCATAAACGAAAGAATGGATATTACTACTGACCTTACAGAACTTAAATGGATTTTAATACTATGAATAATTCTAACAAATTAAATAACTTAGATAAATGGGCATATTACTCGAACTACATATACTAGCAAAACTGACTCACAGAGAAATGGATGATGTGAATGTGCGTATAACCAGAGATTGAATTAGTAATCAAACAAAAATCTACAAAGTCCAATCCCAATTTTCAAGACCATTCAAGCTATTTCCAATAATTCACCAGACGTTAACCTCATCTGCAAATAGCAAATTTCAATAAGCAGAACTTCATTCATCAGGTAATGTATAGACAAGAAGACAATTGTGGACAGGAAGCCAACATCTGTGGCTATTAATATATAAATATCTCAAAAAAAAAACCACATAAGTTAGTTTTCTCTTTCAGCTCTTGTGGAGTAGCTTGTAAAAGACCACTACTTATAGCAAAAACAATTACAAATCCTGTACAAGACACATCTATTTGAAGGCATCAAAAAGCTGTTGTGGCAACCACGACTTGATGGGCCAAGATGTTGGAGAGAAGAGCTGCACAAGAAATGAGCCTAATATTCAGCACTGATTTTTCCCTCCAGGCACTTTCTGATTTAGCTAGGCTGAGTAAGAGGCTAAGAAGCAAAGTGAAAAGCAGCTGAGAAGTGAATGGAGCATCCTGAAATCTCAGCCAAAAGGTGAAAACAACCCAAGTGCCCATCAACAAATGAACGGATCAGTAAACTGTGGTATACAATGGAGTATTATTCAGTCATAAAGAGAACTGATCATTTGCTAGCTTCTGTGCTAATTTCTTTTTTAAATTCAGTAGGTTTTTTTTAATTTACAAGTCTCAAAACAATTTGATGAAATAGGAGAGAAAAGTAAAGCACAGAGAGGTTTAGCAACACTGTCACACAGCTAGAAAGTAACTGAGCTGACATTAAAACCCAAGTCTTCTGATTCCAGAGCCAAATCCTCTGCTATGATTGCTCCCAGGAATATTTTGCCTACAGAAGCAGAGACAGTGGCACTTATCTTCAAATGCCTGAAGAGCGGCTCTGTAGATTTGTTGCATGCTTTTCCATGGTGAATAACCAGTAAAAAGGAATGAAATTTACAAAAAGTTAGAATTTATTTCAGTATAAAAGAAAAGAAATCTTTAATGAGATAAGTTGCCTTATGAATGAACGAGTTCCTGTCACTATAAGGATTTAAGTATGAGTGAGATGATATTCTTTCAGGGATGCCATGAGGGAGATTCCTAATTATAGTGCAAGATTATCCTATATGCACCCATCCTGCCCCTAACAACTTTTGAGATTCTCTAATTTAGTTATATAGTTCATCTTTATTTTGCCCACATTTTCAAATATATTTAAAAATGTAGACAAAGTCAAGATTAACAAATGGCTTCCCTGGTGAATAAGTGGCTTTAATTTAAACACAGTAAATCTATTCACATCTATAACAGCACTTATGAATATCACTATAGTGGTTGCAATAATAACAACTTAATACCATTCTTTATGAATTTAAAATGAGAAGCAAATGCCATGAAGAAGGCCAGAATACCCCTGAGGAAGAGTCCCTTAGGGTGGTAGAAGTCTATTGAGATGCTTATGTGTATGATCTATAGTTAAAAAAAAAAAAAAAGCAAATGAAACATCTGACATATGTTGGACATTAATTCTAGGCATTGTATTTTAGGCACATTAAATCCTTTAGTCCTTATTACATGTCTATGAGAAAGGTAGTGTTAATTGTCCTCTTACATTAGGAAATTGAGGCACAAAGAGTTTAAGCAGATTGACCAATACACATCTGTTAAAACGTAAAGTTGGATCCCACACCTAGAACAGTAGGAATCCTTTTCTGAGTTCTTACTAAATTGTGACTTCCTAATACTCATTCATGAATAATGCTAACTTTAATGTTATCTTTATATTGCTTTATTCTTATGATGTGATTTTATGTTCTCCCAGTTGATTCTCACAAAATCCCTGTAAGGTAGTGGTGGTTAATCCCAATTTCCAAGTAAGGACACTGAAAGTCAGAGAGTTTATAACTTTTCTGAAACTAAAAACTAAAAAGCAAGTCTACCTAAATCTTCAGACTCCTAGTTTAGTTTTCTTCCCACTATACATTCACTGCCTCCAAAAAGATTTGAAACAGAGAGAAATTGCCCCTTTGCAAGGGAAAAATCATTCACAGATTCATTCTGCAGATTTGGGGAAGTGTTGTTGAAACCCTACAACTTTTACCATCTTAATAGTGTTTTCTGAATAGTTAATGGCATGAGATTAAAGCTCAGGAGAGGTAGACAAGTCTCTAAAGATCATATTATATTTGAGTCAGTAGGTCCCAGAGTTACAGAGCAATTTCTCTTTCTAAAGGTTATTCCCAAGAGCAACCTCATAAAGGAAAATTATATCATAGATTCTTCATTCATTTCCCTTTTTTAAGTCCTACTTCTGAGTTTTGATAGTAAGCATGCAGATTTTTTTTTCCATTTAACTGGTCTAAAATAGCCTGACCCTTTAGTGGGTCTTTAAATGGGAGATAAAGTTCTACCATGCAAGTTAATGTATTTATATTAAACAATGCAAGAACCACAGTAGCATTCATAAAAAAAAAAAAAAAAAAAAACCTGTGCACATACGATATGCATGTGTGTGGGAGGAGGAGTGGATACACGATGATCATCTCTCAAACAAGCTGAAGAGGAAATACTTCAACATGGATTCTTGAGCATTGATCCCTCAAACTTTGATGATCTGAATGCAAGGCAGGAAGAAAGGATGATTTGTCATGTGATTCAGGATATACATATGGGGAAAGGTCCAAAAAGAGTTTGGAAAGAAAGATCTAGGGTTCACTCTAGATATTGTAGCTAAAGGTAGAGATTTGTAAATGATCCTCCTAAAGGTGAGACCTGAAGTTTTGGAAGGGTATGATATACTCTATCAGAGTTCTCCTCCACTTGGTTTTATGGATGTAAAGGATTCCTGAATAACGTAAAGAAGATAGAGAGTGATCTGGCTGAATCACCTTGTTGTTAGATGCCGTTGAGTCCACTCCGCTTCATAGCAACCCCATGTGACAGAGTAGAACTTCCCCCATAGTGTTTTCTTGACTGTAATCTTTATGGAAGCAGATCACCAGTTGTTTCTTCCATGGAACCGCTGAGTGGGTTCAAACTGCCAAACTTTTGGTTAGCAACTGAGTGCTTAACTGTTTGCACAACCCGGGCGCCTTTAATCATCTTACTCAAAAACCCAACACTGTGGAGTTGATTCCGACTCATAGTGACCCCATAGGGTTCCAAGGCTGTAAATCTCTACGGAAGCAGACTGCCACATCTTTCTCCTGCAGAGCTGCTGGTGGTTTAGAACCAGCAATCTTTTGGTTAGCAGTCAATCGCTTTAAACACTGTGCCACCAGGGATCCTTTCAGTCACCTTAAGAGATGTTATTTCTTTATGATTCCAGTCCGCATCATGAGAACTGTCAATATTGTGTCTTTCACATAATGATTAAGTGCTCAGCTGTTGGACACCGAAAGTTACATGGTTAGAACCCACCAGTGGCTCCGTAGACTTAGCAATCTTCTCACGTAAAGATTACAACCTAGGAAACCGTGTTAGGGCGTTTTTCTTTTTTCTCTAGGATAGCTATTAGTCAGAATTGACTCAACAGAACAACAGTATCTTTCCCAAATCCCTCCCATTTTGTCATCATAACAACTCAAATGTACTGATAAATATTTAACTTCATAAACGAAAGAAGGTGCAGGAGGGAGCAACCACTGGTATTTGCCTTTTGAAGACCACCTTCTTTTCACATTTCATGATATATAACCAACATTTATTGAATTTACGAACAATTCCAGGCATACTAGGGCTCTGTAATAATTTACATCTAAGTGTGTTGATCTATAGTACAGCATCTACATAATAAATCTTATAAATTATGTAGTTTTCATATATCAGTTATGTAGAAGTTATTT